CAGTCGACCAATTGCCCTATTTATGGTCTAGATCTCTTTCTTATGAAAAAACACATCGATATAAAACCATTAACGAGTCAAGAAATACTTAAGAGTAGAGTAACAAGAGGTACACAAAATTTGAGCCATTTTTCGGACTAAAAACTCGATTATTCCCAAGTCATCGTGATTTTTTGGCTAATAACTTTTGAACAAGTTAACCAATCGGCTTGTTTTTGTTCTAGATTTCTTTCTTATGAAGAAACACTTAGTAATAATCTCCTCAGTGCGTCCTGAGATACGCATAAATAGAGTTACAAGAGGGACACAAAATTTGAGCCCTCTTTTTCAACAAAAAAACTCGTCAATTGTCAAGTCGAGGTGTTTTTTGGCTCAAAACTTCAGATCCAGTTGTCCAATCGGCCCGTTCTTGGTCTAGAACTTTCCCTTATGAAAATAACATCGATATAGGACCAACAGGCCGTCCTGGAATACGCATGAATATAGTTACATGAGGTACAAACAATTTGAGCCGTTTTTCGACTGAAAAACTTGTCAATTCTAAAGTCGTCGTGGTTTTTGGCTCATATCTTTTGGACCAGTCTACCAATCATCTCTTTTTCGGTCTAGATCTCTTTCTTACTCAAAAACACATCGAGATACGAACAACCAGTCGTCCAAAAATACGCAATAATAGAGTTACAGGAGGTACACAAAATTTGAGCTATTTTTTGACTAAAAAACTCGTCATTTCCAAAGTCGTCGTGGTTTTTAGCCCATAACTTTTGAACTCTTTGAACAATCGGCTCGTTTTGAGTTTATATAATTTTTTTATGAGAATACGCATCGATATAAGACAACCAGGCCGTCCTGAAATACGCAAAAATAGAGTTACAAAAGGTACGATAAAATTGAGCCTTTTTTCGAGTGAAAAACTTGTCAAGTCGAAAGTCGTTGTGGTTTTTTGCTTATAACTATTGAACAAGTCGACCAATCGGTCCATAGTCGGTCTAGATCTCTTCCTTATAAGAAACACATCGATACAGGACTAACAAGTCGTCTAGAAATACGCAAGAATAGAGTTACAAGGAGTGCACAAAATTTAAGCGATTTTTTCGCCTAAAAAACTTGTCATTTCCAAAGTATTCGTGGTTTTTGGCACATTACCTTTGAATTTTTGTTTCATTTGGCTCGTTTTTAGTGTAGATATGTTTCTTACAAAAAAACGCATCGATATCAGCCCCTCAGAGCTTCCTGAGATACGCAAGATTAGAATTACAAGAGGGACACAAAATTTGAGCCCTTTTGTCGACAAAAAACTCCTCAATTCTCAAGTCGACGTGGTTTTTGGCTCATAACTTCTGATCCAGTTGTCTAATTGGCCCGATTTTGTTCTAGAACTCTTCATTATAAAAATAACATTGATATAGGACCAACAAGCCCTCCTGGAATGCGACAGAATATAGTTACAAGATGTACACACAATTTAAGCCGTTTTCCGAAAAAAAAATCGTTATTTTCAATGTCTTCGTGTTTTTTGACTTATAACTATCAATCCAGTTGACCAATCGGCCCGTCTTTGGTCAAGATCTCTTCCTTATAAAGAAACACATCGATATAAGACGAACAAGCCGTCCTGAAATACGCAATAATAGAATTACAAGCGGTACACGAATCTTGATCCTTTTTTCGACTAAAAAACTCGTCAATTCTCAAGTCGACGTGGTTTTTGGCTTATAACTTTTGATCCAGTTGTTTATTCGGCCCGTTTTTGGTCTAGCACACTTCCTTATGAAAAATCACATCTATATTAAATCAAAAGTCTGTCCTGGAATACGCACGAATAGAGTTACAAGAGGTACGAAAAATTCGAGCCGTTTTTTGACTAAAAAACTCGTCATTTCCATGGTCGTCGTGGTTTTTGGCTAATATCATTTGAACTATTTGACCAATCTTCACGTTTTTTATCTATATTTCTTCTTCATAAACATACGCATCGATATAAGACCACCAGGCTGTACTGAAATAAGCAAGAATAGCGTTACAAAAGGTACGATAAATTTGAGCTTTCTTTCGACTGAAAAACTTGTCAATTGGAAAGTTCATTGTTTTTGGCTCATAACTTTTGAACCAGTCGACCAATTGCCCCATTTATGTTCTAGATCTAGTTTTTATGAAAAAACACATCTATATAAAACCATTAAGTAGTCCAGAAATACTCAAGAATAGAGTAACAACAGGTACACAAAATTTGAGCCATGTTTTCGACTAAAAACTCGATAATTCCCGAGTCGTCGTGGTTTTTAGCTCATAACTTTTAAACAAGTTGCCCAATCGGCTTGTTTTTGGTCTATGAACGGTCAAAAATTATGAAATTTTAGGAGTTTATAAATAAAGCTATTCTGAACCCGTAAAAAAAATTTCAGCCGAATCTGTCGAAAAGTGATTTCATGCTGGAACTACCTTAACTTAACATCATCCGAAATTAAAAAAAAAAAAATTCTTTTTCCCAAATTCAAAAATTTATATCTTCGAAAAAAAAGAACACCCTCTTGAAAATTTCAGGATATTTTAAGATTAGTAAGAGGTACTCTGTAAAAAAATGAGCCGAAAATTTTATAGCAGGCTTTGATTTTCACGATTTTTTAAATTTCAAAATTTTCTCACTTTTTGATTTTTCAAAAATTATACCCAAAAAAAAATTTTTTTTATAGTCCTAAGTATCCTCTTTAAAAGTGACTTTGGCCCATGTCTGTAACTATAATAGTTTCCGAGATATTACAAAAATAAATTTGAAAAACCAGAAAATGGTGAAATTTTGAATTTTGTATAACTTTCCGAAAAAAATTAAAAAAATTTTTTCCTTTGGCACAACTTTGTTTTATGATAAAAGCAAACTTGTGACCAAATTTCATCTAAATCGGAAGGGGTCGATTCTAACTATTGGTCGATTTGACATGGAATGACCCGTATACATTTATTATTATGTATATTAAATATATTATATATCAATTTATATAAAGATAATAGACACAAAAAAAATATTCTATTATTCAAAAATCCGAAAAAAATAAAAAACTTTTTCTTATTTTAGGAATAAGTAAAAATTTTAAAATAGTTGACAATGGGGATACTTCTTTTTCATAAATAAGAGTCTTGTCACAAGAAACATTTTTAGTGAATTTACCTTCCAAGTATACTTTTCTCACAGTTGAAATGAAGAGAATCAGAATTCAAAATATCAAATTTCGACGATAAAATCACAGTATTTTTACTAGACAGCAACTAATTTGTTGCTATTTATTTACTGTCTGGAGTTAGATGCAGAAAGAAACAAACGAATCAAATTATTTATATTTATCATGAATCGGCTATATATAATCCGACAAAAATCAAATATTGATGGTTAATCAACCATGAAGTAATCACTACGAAGTCACCACAGCATTCCCATAAGCATGATACCGCAAGGCAAAAAGTACTAACGTTAGTTGATATGACAACCGTTCCAACACTAATATATTTATATATGTGATGTTTACAACACTATAACCTCCAATCACGTTGTGATTTACACGATATATACACAGAAGACGCAGTACATAAAACGTTATGACGAGCCGCAATAACAGAATTAACTTCATTTAACCTATTGTAATAAGTTTTACCGAAATACACACTAATTTGAAGTATGTTAAAACAGTTGATTTTGAAGGTATATATTAGACTGATTGAAATTTTTTAATACTCAAGTATTATAGGAAGACTTTTCGATTAACTACATAAGTAAACAAAAGATGACACGGTAAATTTTAAATTAAGGAAGTCCTTTCGCTCCAGTTGAGTCACAACAACTGTAGTTTTCAAGTTTTTATTTTTATTAGAGTAGTCTTTGGATTTGTCTAAATTAATAGTTACAATTATATTTTGGTAACTGATTGTTTTACTGGTACACCAGTATTCATAAGACACTCCTATCGAAGGGATTTTATTCCAAGAGATTTGATCAAAATATGTCTTTCGCACTTGGTGTCAAAATTTAATTTACTGGAAATTCTGCTATATTATGTATTAAAATGTTAAATATACTTCAAGTATGGTATTAGTGAAAAATTTATTTATGCATATGTATTCAAAGTGTGAAATTTACCTTCTCATCTCTTTTGATAAGGCCAAATGATGCTTTTTTTTTACTATCAACAGAGTTTAGACGATCTGTGTGTATTAAGCAATAATAAAAATTTTTTTTCATTAAGATGATTTTATACAAACATTGTAGCGTCATGGTTCTTAAAAATTTACAAAATTTTCTTTATGATACGTTGATTACTAAGGTCAATTAGAATCGAATAATGAAACGAAAATGCAGACATTCTCACAAGAATGTATACATACAAGATCTACAGGCTTGTAAAAATTATCACATTATACTTAGTAATGAAATATCTTTTTTTTTTTCGGGAAGCAAGAGTTTGTGAATCAAGAAATTTTATTTTAACAAGAAAAAATTTTTCTTGGTTCTAAAACTTTTTTGCACTATTCAAGAACATTCTTGAAAATTCAGAAAAATTTTTACAATGATTTCTTCTGTTTAATAGTATTTATCCTAAGTTGAATCGATCCCTCTATCAGTTCCGAAGTTGAAATCTTTAATTTTCGTTGCAGAAAGTCAAAAAATCGATCTACATTAATATTTTACAGTAGTTGATTGATTTCAACTATAAAATTGATTTTCCCACACAATAAAAAATTAAATATATTATATTTCGAGCTATAAAAAATGCACTATATTTTATTTAGGGAAAACTTGTTAGATTTTATAAAAAAAAAACTTAATTATCAAATACAATATTTAATCATTTAATCAATTAATTAAAAATCCGTATCAGTCACAACTTTGGATTATAGCATTTGTAGTTTTTTTTTTTTTTATTTTCAACAACTATGTTGCGAAATTATATGACCTATAATTAGAAATAGTAGGAAACAATGATACAGTTCATTAAAGTTAAATTACTTTTTTATCTATAATTACTCTGATTTATTTGGTCTATTTGTTTCGATCTTGTAATTCTGGATTGCTCAGCGTTTATGGACATTTGTTGATTTTCGTTGATAACTTTGCGATGAGATACAGTCTCATCAACAGAATGAAAGGAAAAATCTGATCCGTTTATATTTGAAAAAGATCCGGATGATTCTACTAAATCTATAGTTTCAGGAGTTATATTTGAAATTTCGTCTGATCTGAAAAACATTTGTAGCATTGAACGAATTGTTGAAATAATTGAAATTATGTAACTAAATAATAAATAAATTTACCGAGATGAATTTGAAAGTACTAATGCAGATGTACGTTTGATCGGGCGTTGACGATCCACACAATTATTATCAAGATCAAATTTTCTTTTAACTGGTCCCAAACAACTCGGTCTTAAGGCTATTGGACTTAAACTACGTCTCATAGCAAATGATTTTCGCGTAGGACTTGGAGAAAGATTATTTTTCCATTGAACAGTACTGAGTCCAGGTGAATAACATTGACGTTGTCCTAGACTAGATCTAGTAGGTGACGGTGAAGAACAAAAGGAAGTGTTATTTACAACTGGTAAATTTAGATTTAAAGGATCAACAAATTTTTTTATCATTTGCTTCTCAATATTTTGAAGTTGATGGCTGGATAAGTCTGAATCTTTAACAGACAATCCTTCAGCATCAAGAGTTAAATCCTCCCATGACTGGGAAATTTGCATTGCACTGTGGATTTCTTTTTCATGTGCAGCTTCTCTACCAGCAACATCAATACATTCTTCTTGTTTCAATTGGTTAACTCTTGGTGTCAGTCGTGGTATATTTACAGAACTCTGAAATAATTATGAACATTAGTAACATCGAGAATCAAATCAATTTACATTCTATTTTAATTTATCTTACACTTGTACTAAATCGTCGTGTCCTTGATATGTTGGGAAAAAGATTTAACGAAGAAGCAACATCTCTGCAAATTATAAATCAGGAATTAAACTATAATAAGCAATAGCGTATTAAAGAATATATGTTTTGCAATAGTAGCACATTGAGATTCAAAAAAGTTGATTTAATAAAAATATATTATCGAAAAAAAAAGAAAAAATTAACTCTTGATAGGATATAATTACTTATTACTGTACCATTGATAATAAATTTTATTTGAACTATACAGATGAAATATTATGCACTAATACGTATATAATTACATATATTGAATTAATGAAGACATTAAAAGGTCCTTTTTAGTTTTAGATTTAGTTTAGGATGTATAATAAAAATGCAACGGATTATAAAAATAATTAACAATCAACTATGAAAATTCTTATTAACTTGCTGCTGAACAGTTTATTTGAAATCACATTACTTCAAATATGACAGCAATTTAAAATAATTATGGCAATAAATTTATCTCTTATTGGATGTTGATGATACTTTATTTTTCCTAAAATTATCATAAAACAAAAATATCAAATACTATATAAAATACCGTGGCACAGATGTTGTAGATGAACTAACTGACACAGTAGCACTAATTTCATGAATCATAGGAGCACTGCTAGATCGTTTAAGACTGATTATCGGGCAGTCAACTTCCATCGTTAAAGGAATTTTTTCCTGTTTTATTTTAAGCATTAGTTTAAAAACTGGATGTTATAGTCAGGCACATCGGTATTAGGTTAAGATTGATGTAAACTAGATATCTTTGACATCCTGGTATTGAATGCATATATATTGTTAATGATAAAGTATACATTTTGTCACATATTTCACATCGATTTGTTTTCTTTCATCATTCTTTATAAGCTACCACTTGATGTAAATAATTGCTCAGTTTTTTACTATAGTTATCACCGTAACATTCCAAATTCCAATAAGTGATTGAACTTCAGTTTCCAGCATTTTAAATATGAAGTATGGCGATTGTTTATTATAAATGCAAAATAAAAATATATTTTTATTTAGTTTGACTTTTCTCACATCTAAAAGATCGACTATTTTAAAAAGTATTCTAAGACGGATTGCTTAATATGCTTACTATTGGTACTTAGAATAATTGTTAAGCTAATCGTTGCTGGTTATTGAATGGCCTTTTTATCAGCTCAGAGCTCCGATACTCCAAAGCCGATGAGGCATAAAACTTGAGCATAGAACATGAATGAATTTTATTGCCATGATAATTAAAAAATTATATAATTAAGCCTCGAGTCCATATCAAATTCACTTATTTACAAAACAATCGCAAGATAGTCGAAACTTAAAAAATTTCAGAGCTTAAAAACTTCATTAAACTATGATGAAAAATTACTGAAATTATCAAGTGGACTTAAACGTAATGGATAAATTATTTTTGATCATAGAATGCAAAATTACAGAAGAATTAATACATTTTAAATTTCTAGCATAAAAAATTTGGAGTGAATTCGGAGTTTTTTTTTACGTATATAGTTACAGCTGAAATATTACATTATTGAAAAAATTTTTAAAACACATATACAATGAATAATTTTTTGTTAATTGTTTATCGTCAGAACTATTCAAAATATCTCTGTGGATTTTTTAGATTATTCTGAAGTTTTAGTAAAATATACTGTTTTAATATTACTGACGTTAAGTCAACTGACCAGTGTTGCCGTCAGGGGTTAACTCACATTCCCACAAGCAAAGATAAAATTCCCCACATTCCCCACTAGTAATTTAAAAAATCCCCATTCATTCCCCAATCTCTATAATAGCGCGATAATTTAAATTTAACAGTATTATGAACTCAATTTAAAGAAAAATAATGATACTCATTAAAGAAATAAAATAAAGATGATAACTATTAATAATTTTATTGAGAACAATTTAAATGTTACAAAATGTGACAAAACAAATTTAATTAAATAAAAAAATATTATAATATAACTTATTTAGGAATCTTACAATTAATCATTTTTTTTTGATGGTTCAAATTTAATGCAACCGCTGTTTTTTAAAAGACCATTCTTAGTTATCATAATAGCACTAACAGTTTCGGTATTTAATTTATTTCTGTTATCTGTCTTGATTTTTTTTAAATTACTAAATGCGCGTTCTACAGAAGCGTTAGAGAACGGGAGGGACAACAGTGCAATAATTACAATTTTCAGGTTTGGAAATAAACAGACATTACTTTTGTTTTTTAAATTAAATACATCGGTCCAATATTCATCTGCATTATTATTATTATTATTATTATTGGACGTGTTATATTGAGCTCCGTTCAATTTAATATGAATTGGTTGTTATAAGTTGATTAGGTGTCCAAAAAAGTGTTTAAATGGTTTAATAAAAATTCTGTAGTGAATTTGAAATAATAAATTTTGTTATTCACGCAGTATGAATAATTATAATTGTTATATTCTAATTGAATAATGATATTTTGGGGTCAGAATAAAAATTTCAAGAATTTTCTAAGAAGTTCATTATTAAGTATATGTTTTCCTTTCTTGCTGTGAGTGATCTATGACTGATTGATCAATATGGATAACATTACAAGTAAAACCTATAACTGTGTTCGCTGTAAGAAACCGATTAGTCGCACTGTACAGTGTTGTGTGGTGTGCCTTAGAGACTTTCATCCAGGCTGCGCTGACTCTAGTAGTCACAGAATATACGACTCGGATAACCAGCTTGTACGATGTAACGGACCATATAATATTTTTGATCTACAGTCAAGTGGTGAAGGAAACACTGGTACGGCTATAAATAACAACAACCCAAGGCATACAGATGGAGTCAGCAGTAATGCTGTTGTTGTTGACACAGATGTTAGCAACAACAACAACACTAACGATGCCTTTATGTCAAGGATGGATGTTATATTAAACAAATTGGATCATATTCAAGCTGATAATGTAAATGTAAGTTTAATAAAAATGATGATAAAACAAGAAATTGAAATTCATATTATTAACATCAATAAATCCGTTGAACAAAAACTCCAAGATGAAATTAAAAAGCTAGGATCAGAATTAAAAAATGAATTAAAAAGTAATATGGAAACTTTTAAAGACATGAGTAACGACAACAAAAGTTCAGTTAAACAAACACTCCAAGAAGAAATAAAAAAGCTCGGATCAGAATTAAAAAATGAATTAAAAAATAATATGGAAACTTTTAAAGACATGAGTAATGACAACAGAAGTTATAGTGAAATTGCCAAAAAGAAATCCATCAATGTATCAAATGTTGATCGTATAGTTATTAAACCGGTAAAAATGCAGGACACAAGTCAAACAATAAATGAGTTAAAAAATAAAATAGATATTGCGAAATTAGGAGTGAATATAAAAAAAATAACTAATCAATCTAAAGGCAAAGTGTTAATAGATGTGGAAGAAGAATCGGATAGAATTAAATTAATGAATGAAATTAAAGACAATATTGGTGATACATATACAATAAAAAATGTCAATAAGAAACTACCGAAAGTTAAAATAGTGAAACTGGAGAACAGTATCTTACAATTAAGTGATGACAAAATTGTAAAGGATTTTTCATCACAAAATAATTGGAAAGATAACGATGAAGTCAACGCTGTAAGAGTATTAAAAAAATACACAACTCCAAGTGGTTTTGGATCAATTATTTTGGAAGTTAGTATAGGAGTCCACGAAAATTTAATAAATAACGGTAAAGTGAAATTTGGATGGAACAATTACAGAGTGTATAATCACGTTAACACCTTGAGATGTTTTAAGTGCTGGGGTTTTGATCATCTCGCTACCGGCTGTAATAACCAGATAGCTTGTAGGCTATGTGCAGAAAACCATCGGGAAAATGTCTGTAAAAGCGTGGCAAAGAAGTGTATAAACTGTGTTCAATTCGGAAACAAGTATAAAGATGTAAATAATGATCCAAATCATTGTGCCACGGATAGAAATTGTAGTGTTTACAAAAATTTAATAAAAAAAAGACAACAATATATTCTATCTGCGGAAAAATAGCCATTAAAATTAAGAGTTAATAAAAAATTAAGAGTTAATAAAAAATCGGATAAATTTCATTTAAAAATTCTAGCTGTAAATGTTGGTGGACTATTGAAGAAGAAAGATGAGGTTGAATTAGTGATAAATGAAATGAAACCTGATATATTGTGCCTGTGTGAAACTCATATTAATGAGGAAATATTAGACTATGAGATTGATATAAAGAATTATAGTATGATAAGAACCAATACAAAAAATAATAGAACAGGTGGAACTATTACCTACGTAAAAGAAAATATTAAATATAAAGTAGAGATGAATAATAATGAAATTGTTGAAGGAATTTGGTTGAATAGTATTAAATTAGGCAATAGTGAAGACTGTTTAGTATTATGCAATATATACAGATCACCAAGCAGTAATATAAGTATTTTCTGTGATAAAATTCTGGAAATTGCAGAACAACTCTTAGATTCTGGAAGACTAATAATGTTAGGAGACTTTAATGTTGATATGTTAAAAAATGATTATTACGCGAGAAAATTAAGTGACGAAATGTCTTATTTAGGCATGAAACAGAATATTAAGACGCTGACACGATCGACATTAACATCGAGGACGATAATTGACTTAGTCTTCACGAATTTCAAAGTTGAATCTTCAGTATTACAAACACCGAAGTTATCTGACCATAAAATCATCTGTATTCAGACAGAGCAAATAAATAGCGTTGATAATAATATAACTGTTTATAGTAGGAACTTTAAAAAATTTAGTGATGTTTTGTTTCAAACTGAAATATATAATAAATTTAATAATTGGCAGACACAGTTAGGTATTTGTGATAGTATTATTGATACTGATAATGGTATTAATAGTGATAATAATAGTCATATTGTAAATTTTGAATTAAATGTAAATAAAATTAGTCATAATGTCTTAGATGTTCTAGATAAATTGGCACCATTCGAAATAAAATCCAAGAGTATTAAATGGGCCAATAAACCTTGGATTGATAATGAAATTATTAAACTAATTAGGGCCAGAGATAAATTATATAGATTAGCTATGCGGTCGAAATTAGAATCAGATATGAATCAGTATAAGATATTGCGCAATAAAGTAGTAAATAACATAAGATTAAATAAAAAACAATATTATGAAGCTAACATCAGTAATAATAAAAACAATTCAAAATGCATGTGGAAAACCTTGAAAGAATTAATAGGTGATAAAAGAAATACAAAAACGAATCTACGTGAAATGTTAATAGATAATAATATTGTATCTGATAATCAACTTATAGCGAATAAGCTCAATGAGTACTTCATTTGTAGTATAGAAGATATTATTAATGAGATTAATTGTGGAATGTCTTATAGTGAGGAAATAGATAAAAATATCGAACCACATAACATAAGTAAATGGGAATCATTCGATAAAATTGACATAAATACGATTGATAAAATTATTAATAAATTAGATAGTACTAAGGGCTCTAAAAATGACGTTAATGTAAAAATTTTAAAACTTATATGGAGTGTCAGAAATGATATAATATTTTACATGATAAATAATTCACTTAAATTGGGTATTGTCCCACTTAATTGGAAAATTTCGACAATTATACCAATACAAAAAGTTGCAGGAAGTAATAAAATAATAGATCAAAGACCGATAAACACACTCCCTGTATATGAGCAAGTCCTAGAAGAAGTTATTAAAATACAACTTGTTAGATTTATTGATAACAATAAAATTATTAACCCTGAACAATCAGGTTTTCGAAAAAATCATTCATGCGAAACAGCTCTTCAACATTCCATCATACGTTGGAGAAAAAATTTAGATGAAGGTTTGTTCATTGGGGTTGTGTTTGTCGACTTTGCTCGAGCATTTGAAACGATAGATAGGACTAAATTATTGAATGTACTGTACAACTTAGGTATAAGAGGAACAGTCCTTGAGTGGTTTAGGTCCTATCTATCAGATAGGAAGCAAAAAGTAAAGTTTCAAAATGTTATGTCAGAAGAGTGTGATGTAAAACATGGTGTACCACAAGGCTTCAAGTTGGGTCCAATACTATTTATAATATATATTAATGAAATTGTAAATATATTTAAGAGACTATCTATAGATTGTAAATTGTTCGCTGACGATGTGATGTTGTCGGTAAGTGGTAATAAGTTGTCCGATATAGAAAAAAAATTAAATGGTGGATTAAAAGCACTTTCGGATTGGCTGAAGCATAATCAACTGAAAATTAATGTAAATAAGACTGTATATATGATATTGCATGTAATTTGAGGTGGAGGCCTTAACCTGGTCGTACTTTTTGCTCTTGTTGACTAGACTACATACAAACTTTTAAATTAATCAGAACATAATTATATCGTTTTAAAATTTTCAAAATTAATTACTAAGTCAACAAATAATGTTAAAATATGGATATTACTTATAATACGCATCACGATTTTGTATTGATATTAATTTTAAAAATCTTTTCAAGTATTGGTTGCGCTTTTTACGTTGTTCAAGTACTGGGTATTTTACCTTATCGACAAAGTAACCTTTCAGAAAATTCTGTAAAAATTGCGAAATTTTTTTTCTCAGTTTTTTTGGTAGCGTGTAATTATCAAAATTCAGTAAGAAATAAGAAATAATTGATATCTTTCTTTTTATGTTCCATAAATAGCTTGACGATGTTCAAAAAGAATTAGAAGAAACTCGAGAGATGGCTAATAATCGATTGCAAGAGTTAGACAAATTGCATCAACAGCATCGAGATGCTTTGAAGGAAGTTGAAAAACTTAAGATGGATGTAAGTTTTTTTTTTTCAGTTGTATTGTAATAATTTAATTTTCGTTTCTAATATAATCGTTAAAGTACTACGAACTAGTCTATCAAATATTTAATTAATTTCTCATGTCGTCTGTTGAGTAAAATGAGGATCCAAAAAATCCCACAACACAAATTCTTAAAAATCTGTTTTTCCTATCCATTTATTATTATATATTCCAATATTTATTCATTTCATCTAAAATTAAAATGACAGACCATCAAAATTTTGGCGGTTAATGTAATTAAAAAAGCAATTACAAAAGACATCAAAACATGAATATGTCACGTGTAGGCTTACACTTGGATCTTTTGGCCTTCACGCATCAGATAAGACATGCGGACTAGCTCAGCATCTCAAAAAAATTTATTTAGATTGTAGAAAAGAGTGTAGGTCGCTCAATGAATAAAAAATTGCATTGAATTGTAAAACTAATTGTTTATTGTGCGTTTCCAAAGATTGGAATTACCTAAAACAGAGCCTGGGTCTCTTTTACAAAATAACTATAGCGATGCACTTAAACTCACGACTTCACAACAAGTGATTAACGTAATAAATTAATGAATAGTATCACAAGTGCCAAAAAAAAAGTACCGAACTAAGGTAAGACTTCATTACTAAGAGATTATTCGACGAGGTCTATTTCCATCAACTTTCAGGATTATATATTTTTAGTTGTGAGCGTTGCTCAACACCTGCATTATTTCGCTGAACTCAAATTTTTCCTCGATGAACTTAGATTATTCCGCCCACGGAACTTGGGAACTACTTTTGCTTCTATTTCTTGGAGTGTATTTTACGTACGCGAGTTAGTCATCATTTGATTGCTTGCGTGATATATTATTACACTTATTCATAAAATGGAACAATCTAAAGATGCTACGTTAGTTATCACTGTTATCAGTTATCAGTAAACAGATTATTAAGGGGGTTGATACATGTAACCGCCTGAATTTTGACCATTTTTCAGAGGCTTATTTATAAGGAAAAGAATAAATAAATCGCTTTTAAATTCAGTATGTTTATTTGTTCTATATTAAAATACAAGAATCATATTTTTAACTTCCCGCTAAGAAAATCGACGATTTTCAAAAATCGGGAAATTATTGGTTTTACCCCGTTTTGCAAAAATTGAATTCTCATCAGATATTGTCACTATGTCTGTGTGTATGTATGTATGTATGTATGTATGTATGTATGCATGTTTTTTTTTTTTTTATAGAGGAGGTAAAATACATTTACGTATGCCAGGACTAGGTGTTGGTGCCTGGGTATGTCGGACTCAGAAGTCAATACTATTTTGCAACAATACCGACTAAACATCCTCCTCTCTCCTTTCCCCATAGATGTTACAGGGAAGACTGGATCAGGACCGCGTTAGCATTACTTCAATCCAGTCCATGTTGTGCCTCACGACACCTACTTCTTGTTACTACTGGTTTCTAATCCCTTTCTGCGATTTTCTCTTTTAAAAGGCGCTGCGCGTAGGCTGCTACAGCTGTCCAATTTTCTTCGTTTTTAATCATGCAGGTTACCAAGCTTTCAGGGGAGAGCGTGGTGCCTATTGTTTCTTCGGTGCTGATTCTGTCGTCCTTCCACCGATCACACTCGAAAAACGTGTGCTCGGCGTTGTGAATTTTGTCTGGACAGTATTTGCACGTTGGTGTGCTGTGCAAACTCATCTTGAAAAGATAGGCATTGAACTGCCCATGTCCCGTCAATAGCTGGGTCAGAAAGAAGTCCGTGTCCCCGTGCTTCCGAGAAAGCCAGACGTTGATGTTTGGAATCAGACGCGTTGTCCATCTGCCCGTCTCACCCGAAGCCCATCGGTCCTGCCACTCTTGCTGCGTTTCCGTTTTTATCCTCGTTCTTGCTTCCTTCATGTTTTCGCCACTGATTTTAGCATCGTAGAGTCTTGCTCTCTCGAACGCTAATAGGTCGATGGGCGCAGCTCCCGCAATGACCAATACAGCCGCTTCGGAAACCGTGCGGTAGGCGCAGACAACTCTGAGAGCGCCTCGCCGCTCCACTGCTGCCATTTTCCGCCGATAGGTTTTCTGCTTTAATATATCTGCTCCATAAAGCAGTACCGAATGGACTGCTTCCAGAAGGACTCTCGTCTTTTTGGTTCTTGGTCCCATAGTGTTCGTCATAATTCTTGCTAGGCTAGACACCGTCTTGCTGGCTTTCTGGCATGCATTGTCGAGGTGTTCGCGGAAAGATAGTTTCTCGTCTATCATTACCCCCAGATAGCGCAGGGCCCTTGTTGACGTTAGTGTTGTTCCTCCCATGTCCACAGCGAATGGTTTTAGGAACCACGTTTGGTGAGTCAGAACGACCATCTCGGTTTTGTGTTTGGCGAGTTTCAGGTGGTGTTTATCGAGCCAAGTCTCGACAGCATCAATGGTTTCCCGAACTAGTAGTTCGGCCTCCTCTACGCTGTCTACTATTATCGTGGCCGCGACGTCGTCTGCAAAGCCCGTTAGCTTCACTGGCTTTGGCAACGAGATTTCAAGAAGCTCGTCGTAGTCTGCGTTCCATAGATCGGGCCCCATTATTGAGCCTTGCGGCACGCCAGCCGTTGTGGCGTAGTCTTGTGGGCCTTCCGTAGTTTCTGCTATTAGCTTTCTTTCGTCAAGGTAGTTGTCGACTAGTGCCAGATTCTCCGGCTCCACGTCAAATCTGTGCTCCAGGGCGTCCAAAATATCTCCCCAATTTGCGATGTTAAACGCATTTCTAATGTCTAGCGTGAGGACAAGACACACCTTGCGGGCTTTGATCGAGGCTACCAGTCCATGGTTCTCTCGCTGTCCCTACGATTTTTTGGATCGCGCCGACTGTTGAACGTCCTTTCCGGAAGCCATGTTGGTTTGCGGCAAATGTATGTATGTATGTATGTATGTATGTATGTATGTGAACCGCTTATATCTTTTGAACGGTTAGACCGATTTTATTGCGGTTGGTGCCATTCGAAAGGGCTTGACCAAACTTAGATTTCCTGTGAATTTGAACCGATTCGGACCGATAGATTTTGAGAAATCTTAAAAAACTAATAAAAAAATTAGGAAAACGGTTGACCCTAAAGGCCATCTCTGCAACTTCCTGCAAATTCCATATCTAAACGCTTATAATCGCACTTATCACGTTTTTGAGCTCTTTGAGCTCAAAAATATAATTTTATTGTCATTTTGAACTCTCCGAGCTCAAAAAGCTTCAAGAAGTTTGATACAACAGCATTTTTTGAATTTTCAAATCACAATAACTTTTGAATGAATGAACCGATTTTCGCGCGGTTGGTGGCATTCAACGCAGTTTCTTCAATTCTATGATAATATTTTGAAGACGAATCGATTAGACCGGAAATTCCGGTGTAATTCGAAAAAATAACTTTTTTTCGATTTTTTTTGTGAACGATAACTCACGAACGAATCCGCCGATTTTGACCGGCTTAGTGGCGATCGACGTGATTTTTTTATGTTAAGAGCTGATTAGTTTTTGGAATCGATCCGTAAGGCCGTTTAAAAGTTACTCCAAAAAAACCACATTTGCAAAAATTTTTTTTAATGCCGTAAGATAGACGGCGGAGTTCCTAGGGTCCACCTTTACAAGCATAGTATGTGAGTGTATTCCATACATGCTTGTAAGCTAAATATATAGCTAATACAGACACTATCGCGGGGATAGTCAGGAAAGCTTCCTGAGACCTTAAAACGTCGAGATCTGATGAAAAGTCGATTTTTGCAAAACGGAGTAAAACCAATAATTTCCCGATTTTTGATAATCTTCGTTTTTAAATGTGGTTTTTTTGCAATAACTTTTAAATGGTTTTATCGATCAACTTCAAAAACTAATCAGCTCTTAACCTCAAAAACCCACGTCGATCGCCACCGGTCCGATTAAAATCGGTTGATTCGTTCGAAAGATATCGTGAACGAAAGAAAACCGAAAAAAGTGTTTTTTCGGAATCACTCCGAAATTCCTCGTTCGATCAATTTAAACTTGAAGATTTTTTGTGATATATTTAACCAGAGTTGAGAGGATGTAGGATCATAATAAAACGCTAAGAAACTTTATTATTTAGCGACGTTTCGTGCACTTTATTTGCACTTCCTCAGGCTATCTGCAGATACAAAACATTACATACAATTAATCAACACAGTTCAATAACATATAAATATAAACAAAAGTCATGATGACAAAACATACCATAATATACATCTTAGCATCGTCAATCTAATATTACATTCCTTGTCAACATTCATACTGTGTCAATCACAATCATTAGTTATAATTAAATTACTTGAAATGAGCACAAATTAGCTGGCAACAGAAATAAATAATTCTGTTGACGAAACCAAAAGTGTCGTGTCCGCCATCTTAGTCACCGATTTGGTGCAATTGTGTGTGTGCACAGCTGTAGCAAACTCAATGCTAGTGGCTCACTCTGCAGTTTATTTTAAAAACGACTTTACAAAACTATCATGAATTTGAACAATATTTTTAAAAAATTCTGAAACGTTTAAAACTCATTTTACATTAAGGGGCTGTTCATAAATTACGTAAGCGCTCATTAGGGGGGGGGGAAGTCAAGCTGAATCTCTATGTATGCTTACTTAGGGGGGAGGGCGTTAGTAGACAAATCTTACGTAAGCAAAATTTTTAAATTATTTCAGTAGTCGGTAACTTAAATTACTTTTCTACTAAGATTCTCGATCGATAGTTCAATTGCATCGATAATGTCACACACAGTTTTGTTTGGTTATAAGTTGTTAAAACGAGGCGGAAAGATCGAAGCTGACATGAGTTGACACTCATGTCAGCTTCGATCTTTTATTCTGACGAATCTTTTATTTCAGTTAAAAAATGCTAGTTGATGCACATAGTGAAAATTAAACTAATTGAATCCTATTCAGTTGGAATAGTTTAAATAATCCATTTGGGGTTTGTAAGGTTGAATCTTACCCAGTTGGTTGTAATTTGAAAAATTCAACCTGGTCCGTCAAGTTTAATTAATCCGTTTTTGCCTATTTTGTAATAAATAGTTTGATTCACTTTGCCTGTTCAGTCAGAACAGTTTGATATATTATTAGTAATATTCGAAGCACCTAATATTACTAATTAGCTCCAGTTTGTGTGTGAATGTTGATAAGTTAGGCATCAGTGGTTAATATAATTTATTTAATAGTTAATAAATAAATTATCCAACGAATAAGTCAATCAATTATTTGCATCTTGCCATTACATGCCACTCCCAGTACGCGGTTTGAGGTGGATTCACCAGAACATGTACCAGAGGCCACGTGTTCCAATTCACCAGGAGAAGCAACACCTACTCGAAGTCCTAATTAAGCTATACATAAGTATTGGTGTTGGTTTTATTAGTTTGTACGGCCAGTTTGAGGTATTTATTCTTCGATTTTATAAGTAACCGAGTCTCTGGAGCCAGGCAGAATTCACATTTTGAAACGTACCCTGAATGATTAGAATCTAAGATTTAATTTATTAATTGATAAATTCTCTAAATAAGAAGTGACGCATTCAATAGCGTTCCCATTAAATCTATTACGTTTCAATGGCATTTGTTAAAAATTAAAAATATTTTTTAACTTATTGAAAGCCCAAAATTGATGTATATCTTACGTAAGATTTCAGAGGGGGGTGGATGTATCAGTTGAAAATCTTACTAATGCTTATCATGGGGGGAGGGGGGTTGTAAAATGCTCCAAATTATGCTTACGTAATTTATGAACAGCCCCTTACATAGACTGTTGATCTTTTTTATATTGCTAATCTTGATTTTATTGAAGTGCAGTCTAAATCGGCTATTATTTATTTCAAGACATCTGATAAATACACTTGCTGGAAGTATATTCTGTAACTGAGATTTAATAATTTTTACCCTGTTCTCCAACTTATCCAATTTCCATAGTGTTATCCTGGTTTCCAATTTTAGCGTGGACATGCGAAATTTAATTAAAATATTTTCTGCGTCATTGATAAACGGGTTAAATTCGCATTGCACTGACCAAATGCATTTAATGTTATTTTTAATATGGTTAGGACAAACATTATTATTCTTTCATTCCAAAAGGAATATTTTTCTGTTGTGCAAACTAGCTAATTTTTTAGTTGTTGTCGCCCACCCGTTTTTTGTGATACTTGAAAAACTGCGTCGAATGCCGCCAACCGCGTGAAAATCGGTTCATTCATTCATACGTTATTGCAGTTTGAAAATCCGAAAAATAGTGTTTTATCAAACTTCTATCAGACTTTTGAACTCGAAGAGCTCAATACTAGCTTACCCTAGTACACATTCTGATAAACTCTCACTTTCTTTTTCTATTGCTAATAAGCGTAGAGTTCGAAAATAGTCAATGCATATATGTATTGTTTTTAGATACGTCAACTTCCAGAGTCTGTGATTGTAGAAACAACCGAGTACAAATGTTTACAATCACAATTCTCAGTGCTTTATAATGAATCTATGCAGTTGAAAACCCAACTTGATGATACACGTCAACAGTTGCAATCTAGCAAAAATTCACATTTACGTCACATAGAAATGATGGAGGTAAGATAAACCAAATTTTTCATATTATTTTTTATGGCTCATACCATGTATATGGTGTAAAATTACCAAGGTAGTAAATGAATATGTATGTATTCCAGAAAAAATCAGTTGTTATGAGTAATAAAAATATTAAACTATTCGATTTGGTTGATTTTAGAACCCTGAATAATAAAATTTTCCAAACAACGTTTTTTTCTTTAATAATTTTTTTAATCTACTGTATTGATCACCTCTATAGTCTACTCAGATTTTAACACTAAAAAGCGACTTCGAATAACAAAACGACATCAAAATCAGTCGATTTGTTCAAGAGATATACATGGTTGTCAGAAGTATTATTTTAGAATAATTTTTAACGATGCTGATCACTTAAAAAATTCAATTAATTCCTAATTTTACAGAATAACGTCAATTTCTGTCAAGTTTGCCAAGTTTGCCTCTCAATTTATTCAAAAGATACATAACTGTCTAAAAATTCCACAGGTCCACAAAAAAAAGTGGTCTGTGCTGGGTGTGCGTCAAAGATTTTCCGACGTATTTTTTACCGTTGATCATGAATCTGAAGTCAAAATTGGGGGTCAAACTGCAAAAAACGGAGAAAAATTAAAAAACCCACAAAATCTATGATCTAATAATTTTTTCTGCATGATAATTATAATCTTATAATTTCTGTCGTTTCCTGGCTCTTTTCCTCTCAAATGACTTGTGCAACGGATTTCGACTACGCTTTTTTTCTCTCTGTTGAATTTCTCTTTCTAGCATCCAACAGTAATCTGCAAACATATTTACTCCTCACCACCCCTGAAATCGCCGTTCAAATTCTTTGAGATCTTTATGAAATCTCTCTCTTTGCTATTCACTAAAGTCTCCGTTGTTCTCCGGAAAGCAGTTGAGATTCGAATCAACAAAGTGAAGTTTCAAATTCATTAGGCAACCTGAACGCTGAAAGTTTGCGATCATATTGGCCACAATATTTTCGTAATCAGCATCTTTGGTGTTACCTAAAAACTTGGTACACACTTCCTTGAAACTTAGCCATGATGCCTTTTCTTGTTCATCCATAACTGAAACAAATGTTTCATCTTTGAATAACGTCCGGATTTTCGGTACATGAAAGATTCCTTCTTTCAATTTCGCACCTGATTTGTGCTTAAACACTTGACGCAGGTATGTAAAGCACTCTGTATCTTTATCAAAAGCTTTCACAACCTGTTTTATTAACCCAAGTTTAATATGAAGAAGAGGAATGGAAATTTGGCTAGATCAACAAGCGGTTTTCTTATTATATTATGTGATCCAACCCTAAATGAAGATCTCGAAGGCCAAACTTTTTTAACGTAGTGATTTTTGCGATCTCTACTGTCAAACATACACAAATAGCATGGATACTTCGTGAATCCAGATTGTTTTCCTAGGATCATCGACAAAATCTTAAAATCACCACATACTTGCCATTTATGTTCTTCATACTTAATTTTTTTCAGGTCAGTTTCTAGATTTGCGTACTCTTCTTTAAGTACAGTTGAGTGAGCTAAAGGTACAGAAGCAAACTTGTTGGTGTTGTGTAGAAGAACTGCCTTAAGACTGCGTTGAGACGAGTCAATGAATAACCGCCAATCTTCAGATTTATTTAAATTTAGCTTTAATTCATCCACAAGTCCTTTCACATCAGTGCAATAAAGCAAATCTTCCTCTTTTTTAAAATATTTACGGAAAGCCTTCTCTCGATTCCGATGAAATGAAACTTAAGTACCTTCTGTCAGAAGATTTCTCCTTTTCATATTCGAAGCCAATATTTCAGTTGCTCCTTTTGAGAGTTTAGCTTCTCTAAATAAATTATTTAGATGTTTTTTTAGGGGTGATAACCCTCATACCTCCCCAGGCCTAAGTATTAGGGCTTTCCGACTTTGACGAGGACAATGTCAAGTCGTCGTCGAACACATTACGGCATCATTCTCATATTCTAGCGCTTCGCTGCAAAACAGTGCGCCTTCGCTGGCTCCGATATCACGAAATGTTGACTAGCGAATCATTCTACACATCCCGTTAAAGGGCAGTTGTCATCGTAGTCCAAGCACTCCGTGGTAGCAGGTTTTTGCCGGTAAATGTACCGATTCAATGTCCTGACGTTTCATTTTATATTAAAGACAAAATTCATTCGATAAAAGACTTTAATAAGACACAATAAGTGGCAAATAAACATATTTGCGAATCACTGATGGATGCTACAGAGAAAATTAAAGCAGAAACTGCAATTAGATCATGACATACTGAAAATACTGTTAAATCATGGATTTTATCGGTTTTTTTTTATTTTTCTCCTTTTTTTGCAGTTTGACCCCCAATTTTGACTTCGGATTCGTCTTCAGTGGTAAAAAATATGTCGGAAAATCTTTGTCGCACACCCAGCACAGACCACTTTTTTTTGTGGACCTGCGTTCTTAAAAGTATTTTTTATAAGCAACTCACAAATTTATTGTCAAATTCAATTTTTGGTTTGACAATTTTTATGTTGTTAAAAAATTGCATCAAATGCTGTAAGTCGCATCAGAATAGACTTACAGTAAAATCTCTATAAGTTCCGCTGCGAATAGTTCCGTTCCCCTTAATGTTTTCCCCTTCTCTTTACTATTTCCCCTTCGTTTACAAGATATTAGGCGAAGTATATTTATATGTGAGAGCATATGTGTGAGGTTGATAAGACAGTTATTTTCTAAACTATCTTTGCCTTATCAATAAAAAAATAGATATTATTAAGCTGCTCGATGAAAATCACTTAAAAACTGACATATCTAATCAATACAGAGTAACAAAAACTGCAATTTACAAAATACATAAGGCTTGTGACAAGAGTTACATGTCAATATAAAACGAATATTTAAATTTCCCGGGCAGTATTTCAGTGTATTGGTGAGTTACCATTCTTTAGATCCATTGGTTTATAAAAAATAAGCCACGCCTTTTTGAGATCTACTTTGAATAGTTTCCTACCTCCAAGACCGAAACTTTATAGAAAGTTTACTGTATTCATTCAGAAGATATTTCAGTTCTAAAATTCCAGAAAATAAATTTCGTTACAAAAATTTTAAAATTTGTTTACACTCATCCAATTTTTGAGCTTGAAAAGTAATACTACTTGTTTTTTTTTTAGCTAGAAAAACTTAATTACTTACGGCTATGTATTGAGACACTGCAAAATGTCCCGACTTTATCAGCCTGGCGAACTACCACCCGAAATTTTCGTTACCGACACTAGCTAAAATAATGTGTAGCTCCCGTGACGTCACAGGACGACACGAGGAGGGGAAAATCAGCTACGAACCTCAAAACATGAGCATTGATCGACACTTCGATCTATCCCCCGGTGTTAATCACCACGCTAGATATTTCTTATTTTAGTACTATACTACTATTACCACTATCAGGTGATTACTCACCAAAACATACTAAAATTTATAAAACTTACTACTAATCAATTTAATATTCTTTTTTACTACTATTAGGTGACTATTCACCATAATTTACCACTAATTCGCTATTATATCTCTAATATTAAATAATATTTATCCTATTGTTACAAATATTTCATTTTGCTAAGTTACGTTACCGAAATACCACAAGTTTATATTAAAAGTGCTTATTTTGTGTAATAAAGTTAAGTTTATTGTTATCACCGCTATATACTATTTTACTATTACTGAACTACCAATATTCACCTATCTATTTACTACGACCGTCTATATTCAACCAAAAGGGTCAATCAAGTACGCAGAAATTTGTAAGTAAGTAAGTAAAACAATATAACTGGCACACGTGAGAACTTTTGCCAAACAATAAAATCATTAAAAAGAATTAATACATTTAGTAGTCAGGGAGCGGAACATCCCAGATAGTCTAGTCAACAAGTTCAAAAACGTGAAAAATAGAGATAAAGATCCTAAAAATATGAGCGATGGCTCATTCGATTCGTAATCACCTCTAGAAAAATGTTTTTGAAGGATTTTGGTGCAGGTTAAAAATTGCAATTGTTATTAACAAAATAAGATGAAAAAAAAATGATGTTTCGTTTTTTGTTAATAACTCGAAAAATATTAACATTTAAGAAATTTTGAAAAAAGCCCGTTAAAGAGGAGGAAATTTCCAATAAAAAAGTCTTGACTCCCGGAATTCTATCTCCATTATTTATAATTTTAATTAGACGTTGAAAATAGGGCTCCGCGCGGCAGTTACAGCATGCGCGCGCCGCCGCTAAAGAGAGTTCAGCAGTAAAAATAATTTTTTTATAACATAAAA